TAATACATTTCACTGTACCATTCAAAGTTTGTTTCTAAATGCATATCATTCTACTATTTGAGGTAACTTTACACCATTTTTTCCTTTTGTCTATTCCCAATCCCATTAATTTGTATGGACTAGACTATGTGACTAGCACAAAACTTTGAAAGGTAATAGGTGGTGTAATAGAGGGGGAGTTCGATCTTTAACCCCACACTTGAGTTATTACTTCCCTACTATAATGGTCAGACTAAATTATTTTCCTCGCCGAATTATGAAGTTTGCATGGCTTGCATCAACAGGGTGGGTGACAAGAGCATTGGCCAGTTCTTGCGCTACGCGTTCGCCAGTAGGTACAAGGAGATACTAAGCAAGGCACACAGCTCTTCGACGATGACAGTGCCCAAGTTCACAACACGCCTTACAAAAGAAGAAGCTCAAGGTACAAACATCTCCCTCGTGCACTTACTCGTTCCCCTGTTTGTTTTCCCTTACCATACCAACCACTCCAAGTCGGGTTAACCTTGGTTCTTTTCGCCGTGAAGTGTTTGAATCTGCTAGGGAGTCGATGTCCGCCTTCAGGAAGTGGCGCGTCGGGGGTGCGAGGCTGCAGAAGGCATCCATTCTTGGAAGGAAGAGGAAGACAAAGCTGCCTGACGGGCCTTCGACGCCCTGAACTGTTTTTACTGTGGAGCGCAGTGCCTGGGCGGGAGAGAGCCAATGTTTGCACACTGATAGATCTGGTACTGTAAATGTATGGAACAGAAAAAGCGCGAAAGGCAGTTCTGATCTGCGATCAGACGTCGGCGCACCTGATATGTTTGTTTGAATACTCGTATCTTCAATTTGTCAGTTGGACTGACAAACCTTAATTGGAGTAAGAGGCTCGCCTCCTGGGTTGGCCATCTCATCTTATTCCTCTCCTGGTTTAGCACACGGGAAAGAAATCAATCCCATCAACTTAAGCAGTTAGATGCTGACTTGTGAATCTCTGTTGTGCTTGCATGAAGGAGATCCGTTCCCATCAGTTATGCAGTTGCACCTCGCAGCTCCTCTACCTTAATCTTTGGTTGCGGTCTAACGCTCTTATATTATGTGACGGAGGGAGTACAAATTAGCGGTTCAGGTACGAGGAGGAGGAATAAACAGATCTAAACGCTGTCGGTATGGCTTGCCACACCAGGATTAGAACTCACAACTGACCCAGATCAAAGAATTACTCACTATAGCATAGTCGACCCCATCTTCTTTGCGTGGCTAAACAAAATGACGAGGGGTGCACAAGGACGTGATCTTGGATTAGCTACGAATACGACAGGAAACCAACTTCCCGGTTTTCATCCGGTTTGGTTGTGTATCGATGGAAGGCACTCGGACTTGTTTTTAGAAGAGGACTCCAGAGTCCGGCCAGACTCGATCCCTGCACGCTACATATACACAGGCACGTGGACAACATAACACCTACCTACTCGTCGGAGAGCTGGTTTTTTTTTAGAACAAAGACGCCAGATGCGTCCGGCTTTAAATTAATAAAGCCCCAACGGCAGAGTCATACCAATAAGTCTTACATCACCCAAAAGCCCCATCGGGCCACTACCATGATCGAGCGGAGAAGATAAAGTTACTGTCGCGTTACAAGGCATCGCTCGTACTGAGCACGCAGGCTCGTCAAGCACTCAAAAGAGACTACGTCGACCACCGTAGTCATGGCTCCCTAGCCGCCGCATACACTTGCAGAATTCGCTGTTGCGCTGTCTTGATCAAATCAGCATCCTTGCGCCTCCCCAACGGACTCCACTGCTGCAAAAGAAGATTGCATTTGAAGATGATATTAGCCGGATGTGTTGGCAAGGTCCCCTCGATTGCGAGTTTATTCCTAGTTAGCCACAAGGACCATAGAAGAGCTCCGACACAGGTCCACACGACTCGTTTCGTTGAGCCTTGCAGCGCACCTAAAATGTGGATAAGCTCTGCAGCTGAGCGTGGGTCCCACTGGACACCAGCCGCGGACCGCACTGCGCTCGACGCAAACCGCGCTAAGGGGCACCGAAAGAAGGCGTGGTTCGCGTCCTCTGGGTCCCCGCACAACGCACAAGGCCCATTGGCCGGCCCATTCCGTTTGGCCACGTTCAGGGAAATGGGAAGCTTATCGCGGAACATTTGCCAAAGGAATAGTTTGATCTTCAGTGGCAACCGCGCGGTCCAAAGCCCTGCCACCACCAGCTGCGACGGCCCCTGGCACAGCTTGCGGTATAGAGACTTGACCGAGAACTTCCCAGAGCTGGTGAGCGCCCAGCTCACCGCGTCCGGTTGGTCCGAGAGCACCACCCGGTCAATCAACTGCCGCAGGGCTACAACACTGGCCCGCTCTGTCCGCTGAAGTTCGCATTTGAAATGAATCTTCGGAGGGGTCGTACACAGCGCGTCAGCCACCGACATGCCTGGGTCTACGGCAATGTCATACAGGTCACGGAATTCTTCCCATAGGGGGCGGGCGCCTATCCAAAGATCTGTCCAGAATCGCGCCAATCGCCCATCTCCAATCAAGAACTTAGCCCCCAAGGCAAAGGCCGACTTGATCGTCTGGAGATCATTCCAAAAAGGCGAGCCCCTTGCTCTACCTTCAAAGAAATTCCCGTTGGGGAAGTACTTGGCCTTAAGGAGATCAACAGAGTCCGGACGCCCCCTGGGCAATTTTCCAAATCCACCTACACATCATAGCGATGTTAAGCAATCTAGAGTTGGTGATCCCGAGGCCCCCCAAGTCCTTGGGACGACACACCCAAGCCCATTTGACAATATGGTATTTACGGTTCGGGCTAGTTCCTTCCCAAAAGAATTTAGACCGCGGCGTGTCAAACTTTGCGTGCACCCCCTCTGCAAGCAAAAAAGGCCCATAGCAAACATAGGCAGGGAAGAGAGGCTTGAGTTCGTGAGAACTAGTCTGGCCACTTTTGAGAGGAACTAGATCATTAATGGCGCGCGTTGCTGCGCCCGTATATTTTGACAATAAATCGGTAGGTATTTCTAAAAATAAATAGGCATACATCAGAACAATGAAACATCAAGGTAATATAAATAGCATGATGTAATAGTTGTTACATCTCAGGAACAATGCAACAGGGTAAAAAGGCCTTCTTGGACTCAATTTTGATCTAGTACATGAATTTATTCATAAAACTGTGCAATTTTGAAAGCTTTGAAATCTAACCTACAAGAGAATCATTCTATAAGAAAATCAAACCTGAATTTATGCATGACGCTGAACAATGTTGGAAGTGCTAACATATAATAAAATTATTCTTCGAGAAAAGCAAACCTGAATTTATGCATGAAAATGAACAATGTTGAAAGCTTCAGATCTAGTTTTTGTACAAAACAATAACTCGGATAGAAACCTTGATACAAGCAGACACGTTCACAACACCACATCCATCCACAAAGCTGAAAATATACCAATTGGTTGATGCTTTATCTGTCGTCCTTTTGTAATTTTCTCTTCATGGAAGATGCGTACCCGTCTGCATCTCTAAAAAAAACCTTGAATATTTGAGAGATCAGGTAAAGAAATGTATGGATATATAATTCAAACATCGTGCACATAAACCATTCAGTTATGCATATATATATATATATATATATATATATATATATATATATATATATATATATATATATATATATATATATATATAATTTAAACATCGTGCACATAAACCATTCAGTTACTATTCATCACCCAGGGTGCAGAATAAGTTATTCTTCACCCGAGGTAATCTTACGATCATTTCATAATTAAATTATGTTTTGAATTCAAATAGTTACATTCGTATTGATTCACTACGTAAAATTTGACATAAGAAAAATAAAAATATAGGTCATAAGACAAGAAAATTTACAGTTTATGTGTATTTTAGACTATGTTTTTACGTTTGTAATTTTACATAACATAAAATATTTTTTACGGCGATTATATATTTTCTTACGGTCCCTTTTTGCGTCGGAAATAAGACAAAACTTACGGAACGTAAAATTACGGTGCATTGATGGTAAAATAGAGAGGGGTGAAGAATAACTATTCCTCACCTAGGGTGACGAATAGCGCGTATATATATATATATATATATATATATATATATATATATAAAGAGGATAACATGATTTGTTGGCATCCGGGTGAGAGACTAATATTCGATGTAGAGATAGCTTGTAACAATAAAGTGACCCATAGGGTACGCCATAGGGGAACAATCAAAAGCTGACATTTGAGGAGATTGTATTTGTACTACTACATGCACGCATTGGCGAAATGCAGAACTGGATCATAGCATCACGAGACATAAGTAGACAATTCCAAGCTACAAAAGCATTAATAAAATCCCACATAGGATTGAAGTAGCATATATATGCATGTTTATTTCTACGATGAAGCAGTTACAATCAACTGAAACTTTTTGCCCAACTATTAAACATGTTCACATATATTACCGATATAATATAGGAAAACGCTAGATTACAGGAGTGCAGCTTAACATTTTTCAAAATTCGCCAAACTGTGGACATCAGTAATATATGGAGTATACCAATTCATTGGAGATCTAAGACAAAGTAGGCGGTGTGGGTGAATGCAGACATCAAGATGGCACCCTCTGAAATGATGAATAGGACAGTGCACGGTGTGCCACAATGCCCTGCTCCAGATAAACTTCAACCCACTGCTTCCATTCACAAAACACCTTTTTTTGCTGATGACAAGGTCTGCAGCTTTCATTTTCAGAATAGTTAATTTACCACATGAAATTAATCCATACAGCCAAGCAAGATTAGCTAAAGAGCTTGATTGTGTCCTATATTCTGCATAAGGTCGTTGTATTAGCTCCCCTGCAATCTTAGAGATGGTCTGACTAACCCCATGCGGAATAAGCATGTCAAATATAAATAACCAATCAGCAAAGAAAAAAGTGACCAAATCTACAACTGTATATGTCTCCATTACTTCAGAAGAAAGCAATTCAGCTCAAGGAGTCTTAGGTTCATTGGTAACAAAACTTTCAGATAGGAGTATATGTGCTCTCCTATATAAATGTTTGAGGATTGTCTGGCAGAACTGACTATAATTGTATGATTGGCCAAATTAGCTAGTAACAGTAATTAAACTATACTCTGGCTAGTAAGTAGTATTACATCCTCGGCGTTATCCCAAATAATACTGCATGTGAATCTCTTTAAAAAACTGGTAATAACAATGCTATGCCATTGTTTAGACATTTCAATGGCAATAGTTGAGATAGGTCTAAAACAACTACTGATGTAATGATTATGTAGTTTACCTATCAGATAAGAACAATTCTACTGTCTCGGTGGACTACATCTTGGGACCCTGCAAATCATTTAGCCATGTTAAGTTGTTAACTGTACCCATTTATGAAAAGCTAAGTTTAGGCCATGAGCAAAATAAGAGCATCTAGGATCCACCTAAGTAGCAAAAGAGCAGAGTTCAAGCAAAGTCCAGAACTACATACTGTATCCTCTGAATTAATTAAACATCAAGAACAAAAAAGATAACCTTTTTATGTGATTTTTCCAAAGAAATGTTGCTGACATGTGTGTACCATGGACTTTCAGGATCCCTTCATTGGGTTCCATTTCCTTCGTCAGCGACCGGCCGCCTGCGAT